ATGTCGCTGCCTGTCGAGCCGTAGGTATCTGGTTCATCCCTGCAGTTGGTCATGTCGATGTCCTTGTCCTTTATCCTGTCAATCGCTCCTAAATGGATGCTCAAGAAGAGAAGGAGTCTTCAGGGGAAACACCAAGGGAAGGCGATCGATTATGGAGTAACACCGCTGATCTGTGCAACGGCGCTGGTAACTCTTTTATTAATTCCGTTTCTGTTGATACGTCTTCTCCCCGGGTCCACTCCTCGGTTGCGCTCGCCCTTCTTCCTACGATTTTCACCGCGACCTCTTCCGCAAGCGGAGCCCTACGGTCAGCGGATGAGCCAAGATGAGGTTCCTAATTATGTTACTGTCGGAGATCTAGTGGATCCACTCAGTGGTCGACCAGAGAGCATCGACTATATAATCACAGAGCATGACAGGAGGGGAAGGTCTGACTTCCTATGGACTGCCATACAGTGCACAGGGAGTTCTCTCAATCGGTCGTGTATCATCGACAATTTCTATTATTCTCCTGAAGATGAGAAGTTTCATATTCTTTTACTATCCTCCGCCGTAGTGCGAAGGGCTCCTTATCTGGGCCGGCCAGTGAACCCAGATACGGACGCAACGTCGCTGCTACGCCATGGAGAGCTTACTCGTGATTCTGTTATGGAAGTACTCGCGAATTGCAGTGATTTCTTTATGGGTGATGTTCCTTTCATCCCAACAGGAGATAGTTTCTCCCCAATTATACACATCTTTCACAGCTCCGACGAGGCGCGAGAATTTCTGGCCTCCTCTTACGGTGAAGTGCCGGAGTACATTGAAGGCCTCACAGTCTATGGCTTTTCGCTCTACATGCACAACACTGGTCATTTGCTATACGATGGTATATTTCCTCTGTTCATTTCAATGCTACGCTTTGGTTTTGCTGGGGCGCGCGCTAATGCGGCGTTGAGGATTGTGTATAACGAAAAGCACCAGCCGGGAGAAGCCTTGTTGGCCGACGAGATCATCCCGACGTTTTTCGGGGGGGATTACTACCAGTTGGGGAAGATGACGTCGAAAATATATCAATTTCAGCGCGTGATTATGGGCTCTCGAAAGATGGCTCATCGGTCGTTGAATTTGAGAGGAACTTTACCGGGCTCATACAGTTTCGAGAACTCCCTCTATTACTTCACTCAGAGGCTCAAGGCCAGCTATGGCATCTTGCCGTGGAGTGGCTTCATGTCTGCTCATACTCGCTTGATACCGGACCGGGCGATTGGGGGGTGTCGTGGCGTGCTGACGGATAATAAGAGGTTTACTCAAGATGACCGAGCTATGTTCCAGAGGATTCTGGACACTATCAAACGTTCGGGAAAATGCGATATAGTATTCTTGAAATGGGAGGATTATTCCTTCCAAGAGCAGTTGAGGATCTTCGCTGATTCGGACGTTTATATCAGTGGTGTTGGTACCGGTATAACGCGAGCTCACATGATCAAGCTCGGCGGGGTGGTTGTGAATCTCGGCGAGTTGGAGTCGCTAGGCGATCCGGCTCGAGTCCAGGCTTCTTATAGGGACGTACAATTCTCTACTGGCGCTCCCTACCTCGGCGCTATGTTCTACCCACCCAGGTTGTGGAACATTTACGGTGAATTTCAGCCGGAAGCGGTACAGTATATTATCGAAAAAGCTGTTGATAAAGTGAAAGAAGCTTTCCTCTGCCTCGACCGCTTGAGGACGGTTTATCGCATGTTGGGAAGTCCTTCGACAAGTACTGTCAGAGAGCCGACGATTGCGAAGTCTCGAGGCCGAATTAATCCCTTCGATAGAGCAGGAATGACTACTGGTGTGCTCTATGTA